CTTGATGAGCTGAAGGCTTTTCTTTGTGTTCCTCTTCTGCTTTGTTTTTGGATTTGTGCCTCGTCTTCCTTCGGGTCAAAGTTCTGCTGTCATTCAGGTCCGAGTCCAGGTGGACCAGGACCAGGTGACCCTGAATCCTCCCTTAGTTATGCTGCAATAGACGTAGGCTGCCGGGGGATTCCCATGATGCATTGAGTTTTTCCTTTCTCACTCACTATGTGTTCATAGACTCTTTGCATTGAATCATACCTGCTATTAATCTCTGTCTCTCTTCCACAGCATGTCTTTATCCTGTCTTCCTTCTCTCACCCCAACTGGTCGCAGCAGATGGCCCCGCCCCTCCCTGGGCCTGGTTCTGCTGGAGGTTTCTTCCTGTTAAAAGGGAGTTTTTCCTTCCCACTGTCGCCAAAGTTCTTGCTCATAGGGGGTCATGTGATTGTTGGGTTTTCTCTGATTCTATTATTGTATGATCTACTGTACAACAGAAAGCACCTTTAGGCGACTGTTGTTGTGATTTGGCGCTATATAAATAAAATTGAATTGAGTCACACAGCAGCTTTTCGGGGGGGGCAACAGCTGTCTGTGTTTAGGGCAACAGCACAGTGACAGTTACAGGCAAGAGATCCTGCTGCATTTGCATTTCCTCTCAAGGAGCAACAGGGAGGAGAATCTCTAAACCGCACAAACTGATTTACCAAAATTTGCAACATGTAGTTTACAGATGCTACATCAGATACTTGATCTCCTCCACCCTTCTCCTGCCGAGAGCACAGCTTGAGACTTTGAAGTGTTCATTTTCATTCCAGCCTCTTCACATTTGACCCAGCAAACGACCTGCAGTGACACCCCGCCCTGTGCAGCTACACTTGGAACAACAGAATCCAACAGCCAGCAAGCCTCGGTCCGACCTACAGCAGTCAAAGTGATGCGGCCTCCCACTGTGGTTCTACTGGGACCAGAACAGAGGGCCTGACAGGTTTAGGCTTTTCCACATCCACAAAACACACACCGTCGAACATCCTCCAGAGGATAAAGCGCCAGTTAAAGGTCCACCACCAGGACAGAAACCACTTTGTTCCTTTTTGGATTTTTCATCAGTAAACCTTGCTCTGTGTTCAGCCTCCACCTGGATCTTCTGCTGTAACTGAGGCAGTCTTCAGGTCCGGACTCCACCTGCGAAGTCGTTAAACTGCAGTGTACCTGCTGCAGGCTGCATCTCTTATTGGTTACAGCTTTGTTCAGTGCAAAATGTATGAAATGTATGATATGTATGATTTTTCCTGACTGTAAACACCAGAGCTGCAGCAGGTCCTGGTGTTTCTTCGAGTCTGATGAGGGGTTGTGGGGTCGGGGGTCAGTTTTTAAACTAAAAAAGAACATTTTAAACCCAGAAACAAACATTAAAGCTTCTTCTTTGACGTCTTCCTGTGAAATCACAGGCTCTTAAAATGATTGCTGCTCTATGCCGGCCTTCAGGAGGCTTCTTCACTTTGATGGAGGTTCAGGCCTCCTCCTCCTCTTGCTGCTGTTCCATACCAACAGAAACATTGAGTATAAACCCACACTCAGAATAAATTATGGGTCATTTTAGATTTTTTTTTTTTTTTTACTCATATGAACAAACTCTGAGGTGTAAATGACACGCTTACTGCTCGCTGCCGCGCCCTGAGCTAAAAAACAGAAACTAAGCTTGAAATAGAAAACGTGACAGCGCCGTGATCAATGGAAGAAATGTGGAGAAACACAATAAAACCCAAATAGATTTTTACAGGCTGCCTGATTCCTGAGACGCTGTTTGATTTTCATAAATGTGCCCTTGAAAGAAAACAACAGTGAGCCACTGGATGTTTGCTCCAGACTGAGCATGCTGACGGTCACAGCGGAATCATTAAGATGAAATGATTGTTTACACTGTGCTGCTCAGAGTAGAGTAGTTAACCCAAGCTCCCCGCTCTGACCCTGGAGGAGACGTGACTCCTGCGGTTTCATCAGGAAATCAGACATGGAAAGATGCTAACATGAGCTGCTAACAGTAGCATGGCTCATGAGAAGATCGCTAACTGTCAGACGAGCTAATCACAGCTCTTTAAAGTGAAGTTTGAACTACACCCATCACTCTTTCACAGTGTTATGTTTGTTTTTGCTGCAGTCTTCCTGCATTGCTCTTTAGTCTAAATCACCAATAAATTCATGTCTCATTATGTTGTAAAATCGATCAGTCTGCCGTCCCGAGTTCAGCTGTGAAAAGCCAGTTGAAGCAGATATTTTCACTCCTTTCTTCATCTAAATGCATGTGTGGACTGAGCATGTGTGCCTGGACCAGCATTCGCGTTTCCCCCTTCAGGTTATTTGGTTTGTGCCGGGTGGGGATGGTTGTGGACACCTTCAGTGGGCGACAGCGTATCCTGTAGAGGCCTGGGCTGTAGTCCCGGCGCTGAGGCACTGAGCTCATCGGCTGTCCTGTAATTACAGCCTGCAGCCCTCCATCATGGTTTTGGTTTGGCTTGGTGACGCAGTGGGACTGATTGGGTTTTTGAGGAAATCGTGATGCTCTGTCGCATTTCAAGCATCCATCCAGAACATCAAACTATAATACTACTGCACATTTAATATAAACCGAGGATTTAAACCAGCTAAAACCCGCTGATCAAGTCTCAGAGCATAGTTTAAGCTCAGGTTTAGGAAATCCTCTGCAGTTATGATGGTGCACCATCCATTTTAATCTGTATTAAACTCATTTTAAATTCTTGTGAAGATCCCAAAAGAAGACTTCTGGGTTTGAATCCATCACAGACGATGTGAACGACACAGTCAGTGAGGAATGAGGTGATTTCTCCCTGCACAGCTGAGCCAGAGCTGAGGCTGCAGCAGACGGTTTGGAGACGTGTAAACCTCGGACACACACACACACACACACACACATACACACACACATCAGAGGCTTGGATTTGAGGCGTGCAGTAAAAGTTTAAAGGCTTTCAAGTGTGAGCACACAGCAGTCTGCTACCTCATACTCTTCCTGCTATATGCTTTTGCTGCTTTAATTCATGGTTCAGATAGATTTTATTGCATAATTAAGATAATTAAATAACTAAGACGGTGTTCATTACTTTACTTTAGTTTCAATATGTCCTGGAAGCTCAGAGGGACAGAACGCTCAGATGAGTGCAGCAGAATTCTCACCTGGGCTCAGTTTGGTGTCCTGTCGACTTCGTGGGTGGTCACTTGTGCACATCTGTATCTCCTCAGAGTGAAGGCACCGGCACACCTGACACTCAGACACTCAGACACAGGCATGAGCGTCAGTAAAAAGAACAAGTGGGCTTAGAGGCCACCTTTCCTAACTCCTCTGCGATCACAGGTTAAATTACTGACTACAGACTACAGGAGGATTTAGAATCAGTCTTTTAGCAAGCACAGACCTGGTTCTGTTTGTAAACCATTATAACGTCTTTGAGCCATTTTTATGCACATTAACAGTGTAACTGTGGCAGGAGGCTACCATGGACACTGGATGATGGTTGTAGCATATTTTATAAAGTGTTCTGACTTTATGTGATGAATCCTGAGATGCTTCAGATCAAATTCTACTAAAGTAAAGCAGCTTTTATGAGATGTGTTTGGTTGGGCTGAAGCAGCCAAATTGAGTGGTTGGCAGGTAAAATCACAGTCCTCTTTTTCAAAATAAAACACATGAAGGTGGATGCGTTTGAGTGTTTGAGCTATCTGAGCTTATATAATAACTGCAGAATGTTTCCGCAGAAGCATGAGGCCACAAAGAGCTGCTGCTGAATGTCTGTCCAAGTTATTCACATTTACGCCACTGAGCGTGCTCAGGCTTGTGTTCGTCATTTTGTGGCTACGATCAGCAGCCAAGGGCAAATCCTCCTCTGAAGACGTCGTCTGTGGTGGCTGCTCTCTGCTATCAGATCAAAGCTCACACACTTCATGCACACATGTCTGTTTCTCCTGCTTTTATCTGTCTTCCAGCTGTAATCTGCCACTCTCTGACTGTGTTTGTGTTTGCGTGAGCTTATTGGGATGATGACGGGAATTCTAGATAATCCACATTCTGATCGAGGTCCCTGATCCAGATTTGGGAACTATGTTAATTTTGGAATGCAGATAGGAGACTAGGACCCTCATCTTTGTCTTATCTGCGATCCAAAACACGGCAGACGCAAATATCGCACGACGTTGTATTGGCGGATTTTCTTGGAGACGGATGAGGCAGCACGTGCTCCTCCACGCTGTGTTTTGTTTGATGGGTCTTACCCGGCCAGGGTGAGCCTGGTTGGAGTGGCATCGCTCACTGGTTTGTTAGTTTTGTTGTTTAACCGGTAGGGGTGTGTGTATTGGCAAGAATCTGGCGATACAATATGTATCATAATACAGGGTAGACGATACGATATATTGCAATACTAAAAGCCAGACGATATTTGTGTTTAGTAGGACTAAATTTAATTAGGAAAACTCACAGTAAACAGTCCAAACTGTTTAATGCTTGACATGAAACATCTGAAACAAAAACACTCTCTAAGTTCAAAAAATGAATGGAGAAATTAACATCTGCCTCATTAGAAGTCATGTCAAATAAACAAACAAAAACTACTTTACTGAAATATCAAGTATTTTTTAACATGAAAAAAGTAAACATGTAACACTGAAGTATTTCTAAGTACTATGATTGTAAAATACTTATCCAAAAACTGCTCTATGGAGCATCAAAACAAAGTACTTTTTATGTGACCTTAACATAAACAAATATAAATCAAAAATGAAATTGCTTGAAGAATCCATCCAAGTAAACATTAACAAAAAATGTAAAGTGCTATTACAATTAAGTCTTAATAAAATAAAGTACAGCTCTGCAGTGTCCATCAATGGAACACTTTTAGTACAACCTGAAAAAAGGAATTTACTCATCTAAATAAAAGTGCTTATGAGACTCAACCAAAATGTCAAATCTGAGATTTTACATGATATAATGTTTTTCAGTGTTTATTTTTCAATTTCCAGATTTTTGTGCAGGAATACAAGCTGATCGACATGGTCAGCTCTCAGGACACTTCTCTGTGCATTTACTATGTCTCCTGCAGAGGAGAAAACTCTCTGCAGAGACACTTGTTCCAGGAATGCATAGGAAACTCCTTGCTACTTTGGATAGCTGAGGGCATTCCTATTCATGGTCCTTCCACCAACTGAGAGGATTTCCTGTGAGAGGCAAAGGGGTCTCATCTCTATACCTCTTGATCTCAGCTGCAGCAACATCATGTTCTGATTTTGGTGCAGTATTGTTACTAGTAGAGGTAAACGTAGCTCCAAGCAAGTCCACCAATGCACATGAGGTCCTCTGTCTCTTTAGGGGTGGCCGAGGGATGGAGTCAAAGTTGTCTTTGATATGTGGGTGATGAGCCTCCTCTGTGGCATTCTCTTCCTCCACCTGTTTGTCAGTCTCCTCATTCTTTTGCTGCTGAAAAACATTAAATTCAAATAGTATTAATGTCAGAAAGTCAAAATTCAAATCCAAGATTCACCGTTTTTCACTAATATTTGATGACAAATGTCATCAATATGCATTTTTTTTTTCTTTTTACTTTATTCACTTGCTTATACCTTCAGTTGAATTTTTCCAAATAAATTAATTTATTTACTTACATTTTCTTCCTTCTTTATCACAGTCACCACAGTGTCCAACAGTCTGGAATAGGTCTCACTGGTCTCTGCTTCAGACAGGAAGGGCAGGTCCTTAAACCGAGGATCAACAGTTGATGCCATCCATAGTGTCTCCCTCTCATTTACATATCTCTTTCCCAGATCTTCTGCTATGGCAGTCTTAATGTCCCTTACTATCGGTGTATCATCAACACTTTCTTGTGCACCCATCACAAGCTTGGCATGAAGAGAAGCAGGGTTGGCATACTCTCCTCTGACATCACCAGGGTGGCATCCTTCATAGGCTTGAGTGCCCTGACAACTTCTTCTGCACATGTGATGTCAGACTCACTTAATGTGAAAATTTCTTTTTCACTCTTCCTAACTTCTGCAGAAAGCAGAGCCGCACAGATGGCTGGTTGCTGTTCTAAAAATCGTTCTATCATATCATAGGAGCTGTTCCATCTTGTAATTATGTCCGTGATCAATCTGTGAGCTGGTAGCTGAAGGAGGCACTGTTTCTGCTTCAACTGGTTGCTGGCTGTGGTGCTGCGCCTGAAAAAGGCTGTTACACGTCGGATCCTCCCGAGAAGTCGCACCACGGATTGTATTTTCAGTGCTTTCTGTGAGGTGAGATTCAGACTGTGTGCAAAACATTGTATGTGCATCATGCCTGCAAGTCTAGCCGCGAGAGCCATGTTTGGTGCATTATCGGTAACAACAACAAGGTCCTTTGCGTTCAATCCCCATTCAGCGTCAGTTAGTAATGCTGCAATGTGCTCACCTGTGTGACTGTCATGCATGGCTCGGGTTTGTAGTACATGAGACTGAAGGTTCCACTGGTCCATTATGTGATGTGCTGTAACAGTTACGTACGATTCAGTGGCTCTCGAAGTCCAAGCGTCACATGTCAGAGCAACTGTCTCAGCCGAGCTGAGAGAGTCCAGCACTGTCGCTTTGACTTCTTGGTACAACTTTGGCAGAGCGATGTCCGTGATGTGCTGTCGAGAAGGAACGGTGTAACAGGGCTCCAGCGTTTTAATCATATTACGAAATCTTTTATTCTCCACAACACTCAAAGGGCGCATGTCTTTGCAAATAAAAACAAGTACTGACTGCGTTATTTTTGTTGCACGAGTTGAAGTTGCTGGTAGTTTCGAAAAGTTAACTTCTTCAATTGTCTGTTGAGAGGGATCACCTCGTTTCGTTTTAAAATTAGCATTTGACGCTACGTCGCTATGGTGTCTAGACACGTGTGTTAGTAAATTTGTTGTGTTACCGGAATATTTGACTCTGGCGGTGCAGATTTCACAGACTGCATAGCTCTTGTCATAGTCTTTACTGCCTTCTTTTGTCCTAAATCCAAAATAAGTCCACACATCAGCTTTGAAAGCTGCGGGGGCCGGCTGTATCCTCTCCTCTTCAGTCATCAGTTAGCTAGCATCACACACGTCCACTGACTGTTCTACTTCGTTCTTTTGGCAAACTAGACGCTTCTACAGTTATCGTGAGACCTCGTTTTTACGTCATAGTAAAGGCGGTGAAAACTGCAAACCAGTGGCCGGAGTTTGAATTCCAACATACAAAAGAAATAAACAGTAAATGCATGTCATTTTTCAATTAAAAAAATTGATAACACTGATTTTAAATATCAATTCAGTATCATTGCGCGAAATATCGCGATATTTTGTTGTATCGATATTTTCTTACATCCCTATTAACCGGTGTTTTCATCATTTGTTCACATTTCTTTTGTTGAATCTATGAAAAATCCAAAAATAACACAGTTTGACATGAAATGACAATTTTGTAGCAACAGCTGCAAAACAGACTCTTTCTTCTTTTTTTCATTTTTTTTCAAAGCTTAAAGATGCAGGTGATGTTCCTAAGTGAAAATATTAAAGAGCTTTTCGTGTCAATCAATTTCTGATTGTCCATTTCTGACACTTTAAAATACTGGCTCTGTCTCACTTCATCACACACAAACCTCTGCAGATAACTCGCTGTCGCTACCTCCACCTGTTTCTGTTCCGCTGTGCTGTGGGAGGATGGTGTTAGCTCACATCCATGTACTTTACGTTTCCCGGCGTATGAATTCTGGGCAACGGTCCACATGAATTTCCACCAAACGTGGAGGAAATATACGGCAGGGACTCCCAGAGAGATGCGAAGCCACAGGCCGGACTGCTTGTTTGCTCTCGTCTGTCAAACTGCACATTTCCCCGACTGTCTGTAACCTCCTGCTGATGCTTCTGTTTGCTTTGGCGCCCGGGACAGGACGTGACAGCAATAACTACACCCAACCCCACCTCAGCCCAAACCATAGGACACACACACATATAAATTACCTGTTACTGTTTACCTGCGGACAGGTGTGTGTGTATGTGTGTGTGTTTATGGCATACGCTGAGCTAAAGCTGACAGCATTATTGTGAGGCTACATCCAATCATTTTCAAGTATATTTCACATTTCAGTTCAGTTTTATTTGCATAGCACTAATTGACATCAACCTCAAAGCTCCATCAGATCGATTCGCTGTGAGCATCACCTGGTGATGGTGGGAAGAACTCCCTTACAACTGGCAAAGTTCAGTCAAGAGGCCTGAAACCAAGCAGTCAACAGAGTTTAAGAAGAAGAACATAATAAAAAAGGATCCATGTTTAACATCCCTCTTAACATCCCCATTCATTAAATAAAACTGGACGAGGTACGAGGCCTTCCTGTGTTCTCATACTGCTCCGCAGGTAAAGGTGAGCTGGGTTTGCTCTGGGCTCCGCCTGCTGGTGGGGCCTCCCAGGTCCCGCTCTTCAGCAGACTCACCTGTCTTCATCCAGGTCATCCCTCACCTGTACTTTAGGACCAGCAACACACAGCCGGACTGTCGTCTGTGGCCAAGTTTGCTGACATTTTGTTTTCCTGGCTTCTGAACAGCTCCCAGTCTTACCTGGTCAGAGATTCTTAGCTGTCTCCTTTGAGTTGCTCCAGCTGTCCTGGAGAGAACTGGTAAAGGCCTCACTGCTCACCTGGGTGCTGCCCAGGTAAGAACACTCTTCATCTTACTGGACTAATCTCTCTAACACACAGATATCCGGCAGCTTCAGTGAAGAGTGTGTGCGTGTTATAATGTGTGTGTGTGTGTGTGTGTGTGTGTGTGTAAGGTTTGTATGAGTGAGTCTCTATGTGCTGGCAGCTCTGTTATCTGTGGAGTTGCACACAGTGAGACTGTGTTCACACTGAAGAGCCTCGCTGGGCTCCTCTGAGCTCCTCCCATTAACGTTGATGTCATCGTCCATGTTTGTGGACATTATGATCCACAGACGTCATGCTTCAGTGAGAAAAGACTCAAATTGAATCTTCTGCTTGGTTTTTATAAAAAAAATTAAAATAACATCAAACGCTCAGGGAGTGTTCGTAGTATCAGTGTACAGTCGTATCTGTCTCTGTGTCTGTTTTAATGCTTGTCTTCTGTTTTCTGGATCTTTGTCTTGTTGGGCTGAATAAATATGACTGACCTGACTGAGCTGTCTGTGATAGACACCGAGGCCACACAGAATCCAGAGTTAACCATCAGCTTTTCTCATTCAGCACTTTCTTTGACTTGCTCTGTGGTCTGAGGCACTTTTCGTCTTCTGTCCCTGACACGGCCGGGAGCTCCTCAGGCGGAAGAGCGTGGCCACACCACTCCCCCTGCTGGCTGAAGGGCTGAGTTGTAAGAACGGCTTCCCACCTTCAGTTTACAGCGAGTGCAAATATAACCGTGACTTCTGTGGTGACGTGTCAGCAAACCAACAAACTGTCTGCTTTCACACATGTCAAATTCTGTCTGTCTGTTGTTTTTATGTGATGCCTTAGGCCGTGGCTCTCGTTATGAACCAGTTTCCTTTCCTCTTAAACAATCGTGAATCATAAGAGGGTCCAGATTAAAGTTCTGATAAAGGTGGAGGTCTCTGAGCAGCGTTAAAAACAAGATGAAAGTCCTTCTGTGATGCTGCAGAGAACATCAAAGTCATGGAAGAGGAGATTGCTCACTCCTCAGTTCCCTGCTCAGAGACAATTACTGCAGAAACAACAGAATTATTGTTGTTGCTCCCTCCCCAATAACCGTTTGCAATACAATGGTTTTACCCACATGAGAGAACAAGCTGAGGTTAATCAGTCTCAGCAGACAGAGGTCTGCTCACTGGCCGGTCCACTTTTTGTCGACATTACAGGATTTGTGGAAGAACAAATCATTTATTTGGTGCTTCAGTTAAATGTGAGTGTGTGATTACAGACCAGGCCACCGACAGGAGCCTTAACCTGTACCAGCTTCCACTATGTGAAGGCTTTCTATAAGGTTTCGGTGTCTGTTATTTTTGCCCAGCAAGAGGAGCCTTTGTGAGCTCAGACACTGATGCTGGATGAGAGCACCGAGTCACAATCTGTGTTCTAGTTCATCCTAAAGGTGTTTGATGGCATCTGTCAGTAAGGTCCCAGCAGACTGACAGCCTTCCACAGAAACCCCAGACTCACTGTATCCGAGTACACTCACTAATGATGAACAGCGGCCAGAGTGACCATACCAAGCCATAAAATACTGCAGTATGTTTAACTGACCATATCTGTCATTTTTTAGTGCTTTATTGTTCAGCTATGTTAAAATAACACTTGTATAAAAATACTTTTACTTTACAGCAGGGGTAGGGGAACTCCAGGCCTCAAGGGATGCTGTCCTGCAGGTTTTAGATCTCACCCTGGGTGAAAACACACCTGAATCACGTGATTAGTTCATTACCAGGCCTCTGGAGAACTTCAAGACATGTTAAGGAGGTTATTCAGCCATTTAAATCAGCCGACACAGGCCCTTTGAGGCCTGGAGTTCCCCACCCCTGCTTTATGGGCACAGACTAAATTTAATAATTTTGAGCTATTTGGTCACTAACACGTTTGTCCTACAGCGGCCACTCTAGCTAGGATCATGCAATGGAGAGGGAGGGGAAGAAAACAGAATTCAGCTGACTGCAAGCAGGTGGTGAAATTTTACACTGTTCCTTTAAGATTTCCTTGCAGTGGGACAGAGCATATCTGAGGTCAAAGGTTAGTACAGACTATTACACAACCTACAGTTTAAAAAAAAAGATAATTTTAGGATATTTGCATTTGTATGCTGAACAGAGACAATATTTTGTAGACAGTGTTTTTCTAAAAAGACTCAAGTGGAAATAAAGTCTGACGTACTGAAGACAGAAATGATTTATTTTCTCCAGCATTAAGACATTCGAGCATTATGGAGACAGCGGGCGAGGAGGAGAGCTCCTTACATTCCTAAAAATCACAAAAACAGCAGAGAATAGACTGTAGTGTCGAGGAGCAGAGGGGAGGTGCAGCAGGTGGTCCCACCCTCACCCCCACATGGTGCAGAGCTCCAAATATCCTCACACAGCAAAGCTTCAAATGGTCTTTTTATGAATAAAATCAACAAATTTAATAAAACAGGTTCAGCAAACACAGCCAACAGGTTTCATCATTTACACCCCAGGAAATGGAGTCATCATCATCATCGTCATCATTATTGTCATCATCATCACATAGCTGAAACTAAATCTAAGATGCTGCTTTTTCCTTTTTTCATTTAAAGCCTGAAGGTAAAGGTTTGGAGATGATTACGCTCGGCAGGTTTGTGTGAGGACGATGTTGTAACTCAGGAGGTCAGAGGAGGCACACTGTGCGTAACAGCTGGATGGGAGGGGGTGCAGACTCACTGAGGGTCTCTCAGACTTTAACTTGAATTTCATCTTAAATCTTCAGTTTGCAGCAGCAAGAATTATTTCCTAAAGCAAGACAAAAAAAGACATCTGCATTAAAAAAAATATGAAAAAATAAAAGTGTAACTCTACTAATTGTGATGTGACTCTGAATGAAGTGTTGGGGGATCTGAGACAAGCAGAAGATAAACATCCTCTAAATGTGCACAAAGGTTAAAGTCAGCCGATGGAGCGCGCTCTCCTGTTAACGTTTCTGTGAGCTGCTGGAAGAAGATCGTGTCCCTGATATGTTCCTGCATGCAGTAAACTCAGCACAAAGCTGCAGATTTACAGGAACTTTATGGCCGTCATAAACATCAATCTACAGAAAACACGAGGACTATAAACACTCCGGGTCACCTGGTGCAGGTCCTTCACTTCGTGCCGTTGTATTTGACCTCCTTTCCGGACTTTTGCAGCGCCGTCATCAGAACATCCACGTCTTTGTCAGACTCGATCCAAACCAGCTTCTTCGGCAGGTCAATTTCAAACTTCACGTCTGGGAACAGGAACATAAAAACAAAATCACATTGATGTCTCTGCCTCCCTAAAACAGTCAGCATTTCCACTGATGGGAGGACGTGCTGTAAAAACAGAAGTGATACTTGGATCATTGAGTCACGCGAGGCTAAAAGGAAAACAGCAGCATCAGGGGACCTGTGGGCCGAACGTGAGGAACTGGATCCTCTGTAACAGACAGGACAAAACATGCTTCTGGTTTTTGCAATGGTTGCTGCACAAGCTGAGACCACCTTCACTAACTTCTGATGGGCACATGCAGTAAGGAAAACTGCTCGGGTCAGCACAAAAAGGGTTGCTTTTGGGGAAAAGAGTTAAATGCCATCACTGCACATAGCTGAGCTGCTCCCAGTTTGGATTCAGGAGACACACAAACTCTCTACCTTTAAGATTAGGCTTCAAACTTTCATAGCATATAGTTAGGGCTGGACCAGGTGACCCTGAATGTTCCCTTCACATCTACCCCCCCCCCAGCATATCCCTGACTCTGCTTAGGGCTGCTCAATTAATTGAATTTTAATCACGATTACGATCTGGGCTTTCAACGATCATTAAAAATGATTGAGCCGATTATTAGCCCCTCCCTCGTGCTTTACTCTTGCGCTGCTCCGTGTGGCAAATCGAGCGCACCTCTCTGCATTTCGAACACGCATCACAACAATTAAGAGGACCCAAGGGAAGCTCCAAAGCTAAGCCAAAAGTACTTGGAAAAGAAAGGGAACGCCAGTGGGTGAAAAAAAAAGAAAAAAAAAAAACTTCAGTGGTGTGGAAACATGGGTTCGCGGAGTCAGACGTGGATCAAGTAGACATAGTGTGTAAACTTTGCTACGGTGTCATAGCTGCACCACAGAGCAACACTGCAAAGTTCACTAAACATAGATGTTTACATTTTTCATTTATTTTTTATATTGCAAACATGTGCACTGTTATCAGTATTTGCACACTATTTTATATTATTTTTTAAAGTCATTAATCAATACATTGTTATTGTTAACCCTTTAAATCCCCGTAGAACCGGAACCACGTGACCTAGCGCAATAATTTGTTTTGCATATGAAACCGGAGGAGTTGTACTTACATCCTATGCCATCAGCTTGTCCTCAGTCACGGTTTCCTTCCACATAAAGCTTTGCAAAAATTGCATAAAAAGCGCTTGCAAGAACAAAAACATAATATTCCAGAAACAGGCTTTGCCGATCGGATCAGCTGTTTGTAACACTTCCCACATTGAAAAAGACGTCAACACGAACTATCGCATGTCCGCCATTTCATGACAGACACCGGAAGTGATGTCATTTTTCGCGGAAAATGTAGTTTTTTTTACTTGTAGGCCTTAAAAGCCTATACTGGTGTTTTTATAAGTCATGTTTGACTTTTCTGAATAGTTTCTGGGATGCTTAGAACTCAAATTGCGCTGCTGGAAATAGTTTATTTTGATGCACATGCTGTTTTCTTTGCAAATTTGGATCATAGGATTGTTTTTTGTTTTTCCTTCAGTATATAAAAATTGCTGTATCTCCAAAATAAAACTATGAAGACACTCAAAATAAATTTCCTGTTGTTGTAAACTATTTTTTGCAACTTTTTTGTATTTAACGTTTTGAGGAATAAGCCTCTTAAATTTCCCCAATATATGTAAAAAAAACTATTTTCAATTTTTTTGTAGTTTATTGCACTTTTTTGCAATTAATGTAATTACTAATGTAATTAATGTAATTAATCACTGACTTAATGCATACATATTATTAAAATATGGGCTATAACAGTTGTATTGATATATAGCAACTTGAAATGCTCCCACATATAGCACTACAGCATGTAAAAATATAATATAAGCTCTGGCGGACTTGGTTCTATGGTAGGTCTTAAAGGGTTAAATAAATATCGTCAAATAATCGAGATCTCAATTTCAGTGAAAATAATCGTGATTAGCATTTTTGCCATAATCGAGCAGCCCTAATCTCTGTTCAATACTTTAATCTCCTCATCGCTCCTGTGACAGCAGAGCTAACACTGTGAGGCGGTGATCCTCCAAATGCTGTAACTTTCTACAAAGCTCCAGGAAAAATGTAGATAATTACCCAATCCAATAATAATTGCAGAGAGTCAGGTGAAAACCATAACCGTCTGCATGAGCCTCACATGCCAAGTGTATGATTGCTCCGTTTATACTGGAGTCTCTCCACTCCAGTATAAACTAACTGCTGCTATGAGAGGACTCTGTATAAATAAAACTGATCTGCTGGGTTTTCCTGCGCTTTCGTGACAGACATGACGATCAGCCTCACCTCCCATCTTGTTCAGGATCCTGGTAACAGCTCCTGAGCATCCCTCACACGTCATGGCCACCTCAAACTCGTGCTTCTGTCAGACACACATCAAAGTCCGGTTAAAGTGAACCCCACACCTCATTTCCTAAAACATGTACCACATTCACAACAAAGTAAGCCGAGCAGAGCAGCTGCAAGAGCCCCCGGTTATGATTTAAAGCTACTTCAGAACAAGAACACTCCTGTACCCTGTGCACGGACATTTAGAAAGCAGCTACGGACTAACGTTAAACTTCACGCCGACAAAACTGCATAAATCTCCCCTAAAACCTTACAGTCATGTCTGAAGTGACGTGTCCTAACCCGGCGAACAGACCGATGTAGACTTTTGCCTCCACGTAACTACACGGCTCCAAATACTCCCAGGATGGGACCGCTGTTTAGCCGCAAGCTAGCTGCAGTTAGCACAACAAACACCGGATATCCGGGTTAAGAATACCAGATTTTCAAGACCGTTTTCACAATGTTTATATCTAATATACATAAAATAACCCTTTAATCAAAATATTTTTATTTTAACATGAACGGTACACTTTTAGTTTCACTTGGCTAAATAGGTTGGTTGAGTAAGCTGAACAAGTTTAATAATAATTTAAAAAAAATTAAAAAACAAACTGCATTATTGTAATCCCAAAAAGTTGATGATTAATATGCAAACTGTCGTGACCAATGACTAACAACCACTGATTGATCAGAGGCCATGAGTACCATTTACAGAGAGTTGGAGAAGTCTGCAATCATAACGTAGTAAGACTGTGAAAGCTCCTCGATTCAGAGATAGTCATTACCTTGTCCTAGCTACCCCGGTGCACACAGCAAGCGAACCTAAATCCTTAAACGAGTTTCCAAAATAAAAGCCCAATGAATCCGAAAGCAGATTTGAGAATATGAGAACAGAGCGTTTTAGTCTACGTAATCGTATTCCTTTCGATGAGCTCACGTAAAACTCGTGATTTTATTCATTTCAGTTCAGTTTCAGTTTTATTTGTCATATGCACGTTAGCACAGGGTCAACATTGCAATGAAATGTGTTTGACTAGCAGCAGTCACTCACCAGCACGGTACAGTAGAAGAAAATATAATAAAATAAAATAATAAAAAAAATAAATAGACTTTTTAAATATGAATATCAACAATAAAGTGGAGTGACCAGTGCAGATTAAACAGAGTACTTGTGAAGCTGCAGGGTAGCTTCTGAGTGCGTCCTGTGGACTGTGTTGTGTGTGTTTAAGTGTTGTGGTTGAGGTGTCATATGGCCAGTGTTGGGAAAGTTACTTTTAAAATGTATTCCATTACAGAATACATGCCCCAAAATGTATTCTGTAACGTATTCCGTTACGTTACTCAATGACAGTAACGTATTCTGAATACTTTGGATTACTTAATATATTATCATGCTTTTTACAACAACGTGAATGTACTATTGCTGTGTGATTTATTACTATTACTGAAGGTCCGCGGCTCCGAACTGTAGTAAAGGGACCTCTGGCTAATATGGCGGGGTCCCTGTCGGCTCGTAGCCGAAAAATAGCTTTACTTTGTTGTGTGGGTCAACCTTTCTTGCGAGAGACAGAGAGAGGTGTTGAAAGGCTGCTGCAACGGAACTTATTGTTTTCGGAGGAAAACACGAACACGGTGTACAGTCGAGTCTTAATAGCTTACTTACAACTGGGCTCGTCAGGCACTGTTTTTGGCTGCAGTGGTTATTATTATATTTACACGCTTCCAGCTCCGGTTTTTCCTCGATGACAACTCGTACCTTTCCACTCCCCTTTTTCTCCCTCCTCGCGCTCACAGACACATTACGTGTATGGCAGTCCATTCTCCCTGCAACACGGACTACACTGCCCATGATGCTACATTCTTTAGAGCTATGCTTGTAGCATTCTGCCTGTTAGCTTAGCACAACAACAACAACAACGGAAAGGCGCTCTCTCACCCAGGAAACACACAGTCGCAGAGACTGTCGCCCTGTAACCATGGCAACCGTAACGCTGCCGCCTGGAACAACAGAATGTAGCTGTCAAACAAAACCCAAACAGTCCTGACCCGCGACAATATGAAACAGGAAAGTACCGCAGTGTAATCCATTTATTTCAACAAAGTAACTGTATTCGGAATACCACCTTTTTAAACGGTAACTGTAACGGAATACAGTTACTCATATTTTGTATTTTAAATACGTAACGGCGGTACATGTATTCCGTTACTCGCCAACACTGCGTATGGCTTGGTGGTCAAACTGTTTTAAGTCTTGTAGTCCGAGCAGACAGACTCCTGTAACGTCTGCCAGATGGTAACAAGGAGAACAGCTGATGTGCTCGGTGGCTTATTTATTTATTTTATTGTGTAGAAGTGAACATACAGGACTGCGCAAATGGTAACAGAAAACTGAGAAAAAAAAGATTAAACCAATAAATAATAAAATAAAATGGTTTACCACGACATTATAATCCGTATCTATGGCAACGGGATCACGTCGAACGCCACGACCGTCCCTCTCGGCAATGTCATGTGACCACACCGCTGGCTGTCTGTTGGAGAGTCGAGCCCGACAGAGCACAGTCCCGCTTTGCCTTCAATCTGTGCTGCTTCGCCACCATGAGCACGATACGAAAATAAAGCGGTCTGCGGCGGACTGAGAGCTGATAACGAGGCCAGGAGGACAGAGTCCGCGCGGTGTCTGCGAGGTAAGGCTGGCCGCTGCTGCCGCGGCTCGTGGTTTACTCCGAAAATGGCACCGCAGCACACAGCTAACTATGGCTAACAGCTAACCCTCCGTCCACAGCCGGTTTTGCGGGACCGTGGGCTTGTTTATTGTGTTTATGGCGGGATTGCCCGCCGGGTCTGTGTCCGTTGACAGTTTAAAATGATGCGATTATCGCGCTGACTGCCGTTAAAGCACCGGGGGGCTCGGGCTGGGGCTGTCACGGTTTACCTGCACAGTAAAACACACAGCAGCTCATATCTGTTTTAACGCGAGGCCCAGAGGACGAAAACAGAAGAAAAAGAAAATACCAGAAAGTAAGTAAACATGACAAATACGCTAACTCGGCCGGTTTCTGAAGAGCAGCTGGGGTCAACATCTGCCTGCACAGGTGCACTTTAAACCTCCTCCTGTTTGTAGGTAAATATACAAAGGCTTCTTCTCTGCAGAGGAGATAAACACGTGAGATAACGAGCTCATTTTCATGTTGCTCAGCCATCAATGTATACAGTGTTCCACAGCAGCAGGCTCCGTGTCACATTTACCTGACAAACACACGCTGATGATGATCATTGGCCATTAGATTAAACCAGAGTGTAAGAGAGAGCGCATCGGGACACACCTAAGCATCAGGACGAGCTCGATCAGTAACGCCTAATCGTAGCTTCTGAGAATGGCTGAATGAATCTTTATAACTCTCAGCAGTGTTTCCTGCTCAGGTAAATCACTTCCTGCTCACCTGGGCGACATGTTAATTTATATACTTTCCAATTTGATTATTGGTGTGAAATAAAAACACGCTCATTTGTCAGCTCAGCCGGCCTAGGAGGCTTTGAATCAGCTGTATGCACAGTGTTACAGATATCACCCAACAACAGCTGAATGTCACGCTGACTGCTTTTAGGACAGAGAGTTCAGTTATGAAGGTACTTGAAGATGAGCACCTTCGAAATGGGATATTTAATGACTGATTGCTTCGTTCTGCGGGTGAAGCCTGGAATATAAATCAGCTGTGTGGGAGCACAAAGGCGAGAAGCAATGCTGCAGGACTGAACCTTTCTGTTACATAGTGAAATAAAAGCCCACATTGAGCTGCTGATGCTGTTTTAAGTGCAGAAACTGCGCGCTGTGCTGTTCAGGCCTCTCGTGTCATGACTCGCTGTAAAAAAAAAAATGCTGAGTCGCTCCTGATGGCGACACTTTGGCCACGCTTGGTGAACCGCTGCTGGGAAACACGCTCCTCTGAAGAGGAAGTGCCAGGAGAAGTCAAGCCTCAGAATTGTCCCCTAAAAACCTCTTTTGGCTTTTCTTCCGAAAGCCATCAGACACGAACAACGAAGCGTGTGTTTGAAACCTTGTGCGAGTACGAAGGAGGTCATGAAGTCTGTTTAATGTTAGCATGATTAACCTCACAGCAGCTGTGTTATTGGTCATATAATGTCATTAAGAAGGCTCCAGCAGCGCAAACACGGTGCAGAGGTCCAGTTCAGGGACTCGTGCAGCAGCCTGTGAGCATGCTCAGTTTCTGACTCTGTTTTTGTTTTGCTGCTGCCAGATCTCATTCTCTTCTTATCTCTTATCTGTTTGCAGTGGACAGGCGTCCACGCTGGACTCCCTGATCTCGCTGCATTAGGATCCGTGACGCTGGGAGAGACGACGCCCGGCTGTCTGCCAAACCTTCCCACCTAGCATGATGGCATCCAGCGACGTAGACGGCCGAGGCGAAGGTAGTAAAGTCAGGACGATGGTTAAAAATGATACGGCACACGAACGTGAGCCGGGGCCACAGTCACACAGGGATTATGTGTAATCCCAGCTGGCAGGTAGACGGTGAATCATCAAAGCAGCTTTCACTTCATCTACAGAATCCGTCTGTTGGCTGGCTCGTGTCTGGTTTGGTGGGAGGTCACGGCCAGACACGACGTGCTCGTTATGAGCGGTCACGACATAGATCTGTGAGCAAGCATGTTCAGTTTGTAGATGTGGATTACAAGATTGTTGGCTGAAGTTTGATGTTGCTTATGTCGTGGTTTCATTGTTACACTCGTTCATGTTATTTAGCATGTAGGGAGGGAGCACGGGAAGGCACGAGTGTAACTGTGCCTCTGGTACAAAGATTAAAGCAACACAGCGGAAACGAGTCCATCAGAGGGGCAGCTCAGAGTCAGAGAGGCTGAGATGGTCTGAGCATGTGCAGAGGAGTGAGGGTGGAGGATGAAGATGGAGTTGCCAAGCAGGAGGAGAACAAGAAGACATGCAGAGGGGTGGTGTGACAGAGGAGGAAGGAAGGATAGGAGGAGATGGAGGCAGATGATGTGTGCGACGACATGTACAATGTTTACCTCCAAAAATCAAACTTGCCTCCTTTAAAAAGCTGAAAGGTCAGCTGAGGTCGGAGAGGGTCACTTTATCATCATCAGTAAAGGAACGCGTCAGAGTCTGATTCAGTCTCTGTATTGCTGAGTAGTTCTTCATGTTCTTCAATGTTAATTTTGATTGGTCATCAGTTATTAGTTAATTCAAAGAATCAAGCTTTTTTTCTTCCCATCAATATTTTCAGATTAAAGGTCGTGTTTAAGGCAGAAGAAAGTGGGTTGCTCTACAGTTTGTTTTAATCCTTGAGTGTGATGGCAGTGACCGCCTGTCTGTTTGGTGTCTGTTGGTCGCTGATGTGCTGCCGTCAGTCGTTCTGAGTTCTTAGATAAGTCAGAGATGGTTCCTCAGTGTAGGAGCACAAAGTGGGTTTTACTTTCTAAAGACTTTAAACACATGCAGCTGCTGCAGCGTGTGTGTGTTTGTGTTCCTGTCTAGCTAGCTTTGTGAGGACCGAAATCTTCATTCTGCTATAATTGTGAGAACCAACAGTCACTTGTGAGGACACACTCACCGGTCCTCACAAGTTTGAAGGCCTGTTTGAGGCTCAAAATGTGGTTTTAGTGTCAGGGTTACAATTAGGTTAGGCATTCATTTTTGATGGTTAGGGTAAGGGGCTAGGGAAAGCGTTATGTTAATGAAGGTCCTCACTAAGATAGCTGAACGGGCTTGTGTGTTGTGTGATGTGTGAGTTTTAGAGTTTTATGTGTGTGCTTAGCATTAATAAGCATGTATGTGTGGACTGCAGATACAGTGGGGGTGGGGTGATATAATGTCCACTTTCATTTATAATTGAAAACCTCCCTTTGAGGCTATTTTTAGTTTACCTGCTGGTCTGAGATCAAATAAAGAGCAAAGATAAGAAGTGTTTGGTGACAGGTTCATGAGTGCAAGGCTCGGGTTCCTCTGAACGTAGTTACGATGCTCTCAGATCTTTAAAGACGCTTTTATAACTGTTAGTTTTATAGCGCTGTGTCTCAGCTCAGTTCACAGCTTCCTGCTGTTCTGCTCTCACGTAGAAGTACTTCCAGTTTTTATCATGAAGGGATAATAAGAGTCATGAACAAGTACTAAAGCGCCACATTATTAAACACAGCACTGAGCCTAATGTGTGCCTTCAGGACTTCCTGCTTATTGCAGTCAGGTGATCTTCAGTTATCACCGTGTTTATAGTCATGTGCAGCGAGCCTCATGCACGGCCAGACCTGAAGGGTTTCTTCTCCAACTTCAAGTCTTTCAGGTCCTGTAGTTTGTCACTGAGAGTGTAGGTGTCAGGTCACATGACGAGGTGGAAGACACCTGTGTGTGTATATAACCGGACTGTCACATCACTGTGAAAGGTGACGGTGCAGGAAAGCTTGCTTACACACTGCTGACTGACATAAGACAGGGCGGTAAACACATCAGAGGGTCACGTGATGTCAACCACATGGTTTTCGTCTTTGTCTCTTTGCCTCTCGTCTCAGCTTTGTTGTCCGACCAAAATCCGTCTGAGCTGGACGCTCTGTGTCCGTCTCCTCCAGGACCGTCCAGACCCCAACGCAACTACGAGAGGATAGGAGGACAGGCGGGGACCTCGTGAGTAAAATGCCTTCGGACTGTCCAATTGTTACGATCCAATGTTGTCAGTGTTTTGTGTTAGGCGTGACTGTTATGTGTTTCCTGTGGTACTTTGAAGGTCTGTCTTATCTTAGTGTGTTCAGTTTACGCTTCCTTGTCTCGTCAGTTCTGATTTGCCCCAGCTGTGTTTCCCTCCTGTTGTCCATTCCCTGATTGCTCCCTCTATGTATTTAAGCCCTGTGTTTCAGTTTGTCATGGGTTGTGATCACTGTGGTGTTGGTATCGTAGTTTTGTATATAGCTGTAAATAGATTTGTAAAGTAGCAATTGAGTATTTTTTTTCCACCTTGTATATATTGTTCACTGCAGCAGCCTAGTAGGCATGAGAAGCCATTTTTGTTGATTAAGTTTTTTCTCCTGTTTTTCATGTAGAAAGTTAGGTAAGTGAATTGTCTTTTGTTTGGTTTTTCATTTTGTGTAGGAAAGCGTAGGGACCATTAGGGAGTTTTGTTTGTTATTTTTGGCACTGCTCACTGCTGAAGCAAATAAATGGCTGCTTAGCATTTTAAAAGATACTATTGTTTGGGTTCTTGTTTTGGGTGGAGTGTGGTGGGCAAATTTTTGTTGCGTTCAGGACACGCCTAGACTTAGAACGCAACACCAATGCAGGACGTGCAGATCTGGCTGGTCTGATTCTAACTTCATTTTTCATGCTGCAGTTTTTTCCAGACTCTGATCCACCTGCTCAAAGGGAATATTGGTACAGGCCTGCTGGGTCTGCCTCTGGCTGTCAAGAATGCAGGGCTGGTGGTAAGCATACCTGCAAAGGTCACATGACACAGAATTAGTCTGAGCCTTTAAACGCCACACAAACTCGGTCTGTGTTTGTGTGCAGCTCGGACCCATCAGTCTTCTGGTCATGGGCATCATCGCGGTCCACTGCATGAAGCTGCTGGTGATGTGTTCCCACCACCTCAGTGCAAAGTGAGTATCTCGATTCTCGCTCTTCAGCCCTCAAAAACACAATCATCTGGTTTGATTTCCTCACATCCCGTCGTCCTCCGTAATCCACACAGACTCAGCCCACACACATTCAGATAAAAGCGAACTCCTGTTCTTCATCTAACGCAAACACTCGATACAGGGATCGGATGGGAACAAATAATACACAGAATAAAAGCTTCTTTTCTTTTTTTTAAATGTTTCTCAAAGTAGTAATAATAATAATGGATTGGATTTATATAGCGCTTTTCAAGGCACCCAAAGCGCTTTACAATACCACTATTCATTCACTCTCACATTCACACACTGGTGGAGGCAAGCTACAGTTGTAGCCACAGCTGCCCTGGGGCAGACTGACAGAAGCGAGGCTGCCATATCGCGCCATCGGCCCCTCTGGCCAACACCAGTAGGGTAAAGTGTCTTGCCCAAGGACACAACGACCAGGACAGAGAGCCCGGGGATCGAACCGGTGACCTTCCGGTGATAGATGCGATTCCCAACCCCCTGAGCCACGGTCGCAAGTAGCTGGAGGCTCAGCAGGAAGACTGTAAGGTCCCTGTGTTTGGACGTGGCTGAGAGGATAAGTGCGTCACTTCGGTATAACTTTACGTTGGAGCAGAGCGGCTCTTTGCTCTTTGTTCAAATGAGATGTAAAATGTCAGGAAAATGCTGTTTTTCTTTCACTGCACACACGCCTGGACGCAGCAGACTGTAAAATAACTACCAGCCCGATTGACGCACTCACCTGATGTTTGCAGCAGCTAATGTGTGACCGGCAGTGTGTCAAGACTTAAGAGATGAATCCTCATTGATTCTGAACAGATTTTAATGATCACTAAATCACTGATTTCCACTTTCCACAATAATGCAGTAAAACACACATTTCAGCTTTTATTTTGAAAGGTTTTTTTTAGAGATACCTCATTTATAGATGAGGTAGCATGAGGCACAAGAGCAAATTAAACTGGGTTTGTGGGCCGGTGTCATGTGACGCTTGTATCATCAGATCATGAGGAAAAAAACAGTCTGAGTCTGTGGCTCTGCTGAGAAATCAGCTGTATGTTGATTCAGCTGTATGTTGGTTCAGCTGTATGTTGGTTCAGTTTTAGTGGGATTACATAAGTGAAGCCATGTGGCCGAAAACCCAGAGTACCGGGGCTTATCTGTTTTACAGCTGGTGACACGTGGCAGCTCAGCAGATTAGTGCAGTCACTATTAGACTTTAATTAGTGTACTACCTGTGACTGTGAACCTGCCCATCCACCCCTTGCCCGACCTTTGCCCAGTTCACACGGCAATCCATTAGCTGGGATTAAAAGGATCAAGGAGATCGCGAGCGTGAACGGACACCTCTGCACCGTCACGCATCAGCTGAGGAGATACAGAAGTGGTTGCGGCCCTTCCTGTTTTTAGAGGTTTCATTGTTGCCGAGTCAGTCGTCACTTCTCTGATTCTCTCATAGATATGGAAGAACCGCAGTTACCCAATAAGGGTTAAAACTAAACTTCATTTTCTTATTTCTTTGTCAACTCGTTGGGCATGTGCACCTGTGAACAAGCCTTACTAAGGATTTTATTGTTTTTAACTCTTCATATATAACGTTTATCTGTTTTTACTTCAGAGGGTTTCTGCAGGCTTTATCATTTTAGCTCATTTCGTGTGCTTCTGGGCTCCTGAAATGTCCCAAAGTCAGGGTATCTGTGAGCTGCTCTGTTAGTACAGTAACCTCGCAGAAGCCACGTTATGGGTCAAATGATGTCATTAAAATGCTCCAAAAGCCTCCAACAGCACAAACACGTCCAGAAGTCCAGTTCTGGTGACACTAGCAGACAGCTAGCAGCTACAGCTGCCTGTGTCACCATCCACCTGTCAGTCAGAGAGGCCACGCTCCTGATCGTGCAAGCTTTAAGCCTTAATGCAATTTAAGCAGCTGAGTTATAAATCATCTATAGAGACTAAACCAGTGTCTGTGTCGGCCTGTAAACATGTGAGCTGGCTCACTGCTGCCTCTGCTGGACACCAGATGAACTGCTTTGTTCACACAAGCTTTGGAGCTTAAGCTTGTGTTCAGGTGGTATTTACTGCAGTGAACTTATAAACTGTATATTAAAGATGGACATGGCTTCTCCAGGCTTGTAAAATGAAGTCAGTACTTTAAACCTGGATACCTTTATGTCCAGCAGGGGGCGACTTTTCTGTGCTGGTTATTTTCAGTTTTGTTATTTAGCTTCATGTCAGCTGAAACTGATTGACACCTGGATCTCTTCCAAATTTTTGTTGCGTTCAGGACACGCCTAGACT